GGAATCAGGCACCAGAGGAAATTTTTAAATTTTTCAAGAAATTTAGCTCTTGCTAATTTGTCTGCAGCACATTTTGGGGTAGGGTTTGCATTTTGCATCTTGCTGTCAGACACAGCCTGGTCTGCTCTGACTAATGTATGAAGATATCAATTTAGGGTGATGTCCATAGTGATGTTTAACTAAATTAGGACCTGGAATGCCTGAATATTTTAAATAAAACCAATTTCCTTTCAATCATTATAAATCCATAATTCCTATTTCTATTGATGTGCAAATGATGTACCAGTTCATTTGCTTTCCTATCAAATTTTCTGGCTATAATCACAATCCTGATTAGTTCCAAAAGTGGGACACTTGTTATAAATATCAGTAGATGTATGAAATTTATTCCTGGAGCTACCACTTAAGTACTTATGACAAAACAAAAGCACCTCTCAATTCTGTTCCCTCCTGGGTGTCCACAAGAACAGAGGGAAGAGAACTGAGAGGTATTTTTGGTTTGGACTAGGAGGAAACCAGGTGGATGACTACAGATCCAGTGTCTGGATCATGCTTTCACCAAGTCCTAGTGCACATACTCTGTGTTTGCTTTTTAGAGGCCATCCTCCTTCAACAGAAGGGAGGGAAGGTTCCTATCTTTTCTAATGAATTGTTCCACTTACCGTTTAACTCTAAGTTGCTGAAAGGTGACTTACCCTATGCTTGTGTGGCAGCATGGCCTTATGTGTTAATGGTACTGAGGTAAAGTGTGGTCTGTGTTGACAGAAAATAGGAGGAGGTCTTGATACCTAGAAATGATACTTTTCTTGTGTGACCTTGGGCAGAGAATTTTTTTTTTCTAAACTGGAGAGTAGAAATGACGCTAATAATGACCTCGCTGACTTTGCAAGGGTTTTGTGAGGAGCAAATAGATAATATATAAAAAGTTGAGCATTCAGTAGGCTTTAATGTTGCTATAAATCAGCACAATCTGATTGGCTGAATAAATTACTTTCCATATGCATTTGGGAGTCCATAGCATCTGAAAGAACTATTTGTTATTTTGAAATAATAATCTGATAATGCTACACTATAAAGAAATGAAAAAGTTAATAGACTTCCTCTAACAATGGGAATCCAAGGCAAGTCTAGATCTGACCCATTATAGTTATAGTTGGAAAACTCTAAGGTACCATAAGATTGCTAATGAATTCACAGACTGCTTTATGTGCTCTAGGATTGATGAATATAGAGCCATATTAAGAAATCTATCCAAAGTTCTGTAATCAAGAAAAAGATGACTTTCAACTTCCAAAGTCTAAGAAAGAATTCAACATAGAGGGCTTTAAAATTTTTGAAACATTTTTAGCAGTTCCAAAAATATATATTTTTTACTAATTAGTTCACTGGTCTGACTGATGAATTATAAGTAGGCATCCCATTCATCTTGTTTTCAGTTCTGAAGGATTAGGAAAGATTGGTGGACCATTTCATTCATGGATGTATTGGGTCATTTCCATGGTGCTGGGCATTAAACACAATGACCTATACCTCCTATACGGGCCGTACGTTCATACTCTGTGTCCCGAGACACTGCAGACCAAAGAGAACTTTGGCAATATCAGTTTTAAATTGCTCATGTAGTTTTTGTTGAATCTGCTATAAATGAGTCCCCTGTTACTCTTACGTTTTCTTCTTTCTAACTCTCACATATATATATCAAAAGAGATTAACATTTAAAACAGATTCGGATTGAACTCAGTTCAGTTTGTTAAATGTTTTATGGCCTTTTAGATCCCAAAATAAAAGCCAGTGCATGATACTGATATTTTATTAGATAAATTAAAATTAGTACTAATTCCAGATAAATATTATGTATATAGAAAAATATTTAATTCATTTAATTTAGCTGTTTCCACACTAACATATGCTAATTTTTTTTTTGTTTTTGTTTTTGTGTTTTGAGACAGGATCTTGTTATGTAATCCAGGCCGGCCTTGAACTTGCTATGTAGCTGAGGGTGCCCTCAAACTTGTTTTAATCCTCCTGCTTTGGCCTCCTGAGTGCTGGGATTACAGGTGTGTGCCACCATGCCCAGTGTAACATGTGCTAGTTTTTACTACACTTTTAAAAGCTTCTCAGAAAGTAGAAGAGGTCTTATATTCTCTAATTAAGCATTGCTATAAATACTGAATTAAGGAGGCTAAAATGTTTTTTATCATACCCAAATTTATTGGTTAAAAACAGATTTTTTTAATCCTTTCTCCCCTTATTCAAAATACCACACTATTTCTTTCCAGTCACTTACAACCTGTTCAGGTCCAATAAGACAAAAACAAAACAAAACAAAACAAAATAAAAAAACCCGGGGCTGGGGATTTAGCTCAGAGGCACAGGGCCTGCCTGGCAAGCACAAGGTCATGAGTTTGATTCCCGGTACCGGGAAAAATACCAAACAAACAAACAAACAAACAAACAAAAAAACCCCAAGAAAACCCACACCTAACTGATTAGCATTTTTCTGTAACAATTTCATGAAATTGAAAAATTACAAGCAAGATCATTTGAGGGATTCTGAAATTTGAAATTCTGTTCCATAGTCAATGTATATTCAGCTCCATCTCTGATGACTTTGTCTAGGGAGATATAATGCAGCAAGGTCTTGCAGTCTGTAAAATCACTTCTTCAAGAAAGATAGCAAGTTTAGTACATTGTACTTAGTAATGCAGAAAGGTGTATTAATATGTTAGGAAGATTTTCCACTAAAAAGATTTTTATACCTTTTAGTTAGTCTTGAGGTGATGAAAAATTTCAATTAATTAGAATACTCCAGTGCCCTTGAGTGTTCTCTTTATTTGAAACTTCACAGTATTTACTTAGACTTAAACCTCAAAGATTTTCTTTTAATTTCTTGCACTTAAAAGCTGCTTTTCCCAAAGTATTACTATCAAAGTCCAAAAAGATTGATTGCTTTAGAGATGTATTTCTATTTTTTTCCCTTATACTGTCACAGTTGCTTTAAATATAACTTATATGTGTTTTGTGGCTAATTTATTCAAAAGTACAAAAAATTCAGATTCATTATCTGGTTTTGTTTTAATTTCCAATAAAATTCATTAAAGACTTCACTGAAAATTTTTAAAAAGATTTTCAAATTGAGCTAGAAAATACCAATCTACTATGTTGTAGAACTTTCTATATTGAATTCATCAAGATTTAGAAGTTTCAGAAATACTTTTTCTGCTTGACTTTTCTGGGAGCTTAAAAAGCAATTCCTTCAATAGGTTCCAAGTTTGAACTAGTCTTTGAAAAGCAAAAGTGAAGTAGTTTGGATTTTTCCTCATTTAAAAAATGCTTATTTCCTTAGAAAAGATCTATTTATAAATAGAAATATATTTCTTGAATCTGGATATTTTAATATCACTGGGGTTTCAGTACCAATAATAAAACAAAAACTATGTCACAGGAAGCAAAGAAAGTGACAGTTTCGGGAAGAAGTTAACTTAGATTCCTCTATTATGGAATTTATTGTCTAATTAGGTCACTTGTAATTGTGACTGTAGGATGTTACTTGTTTGTTTTCAGTTTAAATCCTGTGCATGTTTACGGTTTTCTTTTAAAGTCATAGCTCGCCATGGCATGAACTCTTATCCCTGCTGAGGTCTGCAAGATCGGCTTTCATCTCTTCCTCCCCTGTAGCTTCTCACTTCTGACTCTCCGGGATGACTGGGCATGTAGATAAGAGCTGCATAAATCCACGTTACCATGTTTTGTCTCTGCAGATGTCGTGTCCCGCATTTGGAATTTTCTCCTCCTCGCTGCTGTCTGGTGAATTCTACTTGCTCTTCAGATTGAGCACAGCCACCACCTTTTCTTTACTGAAGTCTGACCCATGATCTCCTTGAGCATGGATACAGGTCTCACTCTGTTTTATGCTGCCAAAAGCACAGGGCATTGTGACTACAGCGCTGTTAAATGAAGGCTGTTGAATTAATGATTGAATGGAGATATGGATAAATAGGTGAAATAGAGTTCTGCCTGCCTAA